TCAGCAGCAGAGCATGTATTGGCCTTGAATTAGAATCTTCTCATATTCAGTCACAAATTTCCATTTAACCAAATCATTTTGTTTCAAGAGAGGATATACCAAATACAAAGTACTTAAACCAATGCTGCAAACAAATTTTACATATAAAAATGTATCCATAAAATCAAAGCTATGTATTGCACCAGCAGCATATATTTGGTTTCTTACACACGTCTGCATTTTGCATTGCTGTGTTGTTACTCAAATATATTCCCACAGTATCACAATTTGTAGCTCCTGGGGAAATAACAATCAAGCTTTGAGAATCCTGACTTTAGAACACAGGAAACCTCAACCATAAATTTTCATTATTTTTCCTCAACTTGTTTGTTTTCTGTTTCTAGCAACCTGACTAGGCAGCACAGAACAGCCAGGAAAAGATGTGATGTACAACTAATGTGAGGGCTGCAGTGATTTCAGCAGTGAACTCTCTCAACCTGCAGTGAGGGAGGATGAAGGCCAGCAACTAACTGTATTATCCCCTGAATTCTGGTCTCCATTCTCTTAATTTGCCTCTTGATTCTTTAGCTATTCACAACATAGGTAGCACACAAACATTTGATAGCATTGCTTCCCACAGAACTTCAGGGGAGCAGAGGAACTGTTTCTCCACACTGGGAAGAGATGGATGTGAAACCTGATTCGACAGACACAAGGCAAACCTATATTGTCTCTCCCTCCCTCTACCCTGCTCAGGGTTAATGATTCAGTTCTGGACTTAACTTGTCTCAACACAGACCTCTTGCATAAAAGAACAGATCTAACCTGATGTTAAAGGAAGAAGGTACTTGAGAATCTAAACCCACTGTGAGCACTCCTACAGATACACCAATAACCCCATGTGGTCCATTCAGCCAAGCTCAGAGCATCACACAGCCTGAGCAAGTTCCACCAGTCAGGAAACTTCTCAAACTCACTCAGATCATCCCACAGTCCAGAAAGAAAAAAACAAACCCCAAAACACTGGGCCCATTCGCCGTTTCAACACATAGTGAGCATTCAAGCAATGAGGTGTTTTTAGATATCCAAGCAGAAGAATGGGCTGCCCTGGTACCTCGGCAGTTATGAACCAGTGGTGGGGGAGGAGGCCCAGAACTGCACAGGGACCTTCCTCTGTGCCACCAACACACCTACTTGAACAAAGGAACTGTCTGCACAGGCAAACAGGGTGTATTAAGCAGAAAGCAGTCTGCAGACTGGGTGACTTTAGTGACTCCTGTCCCAACAACCTAGGAAGGAGCTCCCTTCCAGCATAACTGAACATCACATGGACAAGTGTGAACAGAGAGAGGAAGGAACAAGCTCTGTGGGCAAAGGAAAGCAGGGAACTGGGAAAACAAGGACCAGACCTCAGCCTAATGCCCTCAGTGATGAACAAATCACAAGCTCTCTGAATACAAACTAAGACAAGACACAGCTAATACTTGATAGCACTAGTTTTTAAGAAATTAAAGATGTTAAGCTAAAAAAAAGAGGGTAAAAAACCCCCAAATATTTAGATTAAATAATTACCATAATCCCCAAAATCAGATTATAGCATTTTAAACCATATTCAGATCACTTTCATACTCAAGGGGGGGATAAGGTCCCTTTTTACCACCTTCATCCCAGATACTCCCTCATCCTCAGTAACACTGATAGAATCTAATTCCTCCAGCCTTCCTCCTTGCAGGAGCTCATAAACACACCCACTCCTGTGCTGTGCTGCATATCAGAGCACATCAGAGCTCACGGGGAGATGAGATGCCCTCTCACTGACTCCTGCTTGGCAACACAATTTTTCTTAACAAGGTCTTTTGAAACAAAATGCCTGCAAATATGTGACCATCAGTCTTTCTCTGACCACACTACACTCAGACACAGCAAATTACATGATTTCACCTCACATCTTGTCCAGCTGTATCATTCTTTCCTCATTTCTTGCCCTCTGTGTCTGTCTCTGTGGACTGTCTCCAGTAAGTTTTCTGGAGGACTCTCCTCCTCTTTTTCTGTTGATACTCCATAGCCATTTGAGATGGCTTTTTCCTCTTTCACCCCTTTATTGAAAATCCTGAATTAGAGAAAGTGCAACTCCAGTCAGCCTCCTGAACTACTTTTCCACGTACACTTTAAACGGGCTGACTCTCTTTTCTGGGAAACCACCTACAGCCCCGATGCCTCCACTGGCCGTCGGTGTTAATCGTGTCCATGTCACTCAGACTTGTAATCCACGGATCATCCTCAACTGCTTCTTCCCCCTGGCAGCACACACAGATCCCTCGCCGCTCCCTTCCCCACCGAGTGTTCAGACGGGATAGACGGGATTTCTTTATCCCAAGAGTGACAAACTAGAACAGCACCCCCCATCCTCTTCCCCACAGATGACTCTGCAGAGACCTCCTTGCAGCCATATCACACATCCCCCGTGAATCTCCATGCTCTCCTCCCACTTCCCAGTCTTTGTTCAGACTATCACGGCTGCCTTGTCCTTCCCAACTCTTCTCCTCCATTTAATCCCCGTCCCTTTCTAATCTATCAGCACTTTTAACAAGTTATTTTTACTTATTTACACAACCTTTCCTTCCACGGTAACTCTGGGCTTGTGGCAGCGACGGACACGGCTAATTTAAATTACCTCAAGTCCCTTTCTTCGGTGAAGACTAAATCCTGCCTCTGTCCCAGGCAGCCAGAGCCCCGCACGCTCGCAGGAGGAAAAGCCCCGGAGAACCGGGGTAAGGGAGGCAGCGGCGGAGGAGAACGGGCCCGAACGGCGGCGGGGGCGAGGAAGGGGCCCCGGCACAGCCCCCGTGCCCAGCGCCGGCCCCACCG